CCCTCCCCACCCGCCACGTCAACATTTTCTTGGTTTTCCTTGAAAATATTTTCCCAACATTTTGTTCGGAAAATATTTTCCAACCTGTTGAAGCAAATATTTTTTTCATTATTTTTATTTTTTGGAAATGGAAACAAATATCATAATCAATTGTAAAAAAATGTTCACTTTAATGGACAATTTTCATGTAAAATAAAGTCAAACGAATACTAAAATTTGATAAAAAAATGATTTTTTCAGGAAAAAAAAAATTTTCATTTTTTTTTACTTTTTGGTAATGGAAACAAATTTTATAACCAATTGTAAAAAGAATTATCACTTTAATGGACAATTTTCATGTAAAATAAAGTCAAACGAACACAAAATTTTAAAATTTTTCAGGTGAAAAATTATACCAATGAAAAATATTTAATTAACAATTCTCTACAAAACAATTTATAGGTAATTATTTTTCCTGTAATTCATTTTCTTTTCACCCATTTTCCACCCTTATAATCAAATGGACCCTTAATATAAGAGAAATGCTATTCATCCCCACTGGGGATGCATCCCCAGTCTATGTGGTGTTAATGTGGCATTAAATGATAGGTGAAATTAACCTATTATTTAACCAATCATTTACATCCACATAGATTGGGGATGCATCTCCACTGGGGACGAATAGCATTTTTCTTAATATAATTAATCTTAAAATTTAATGGCTCGTTTTAAAAAGAAACAAATTGAACTTGATATTAAATTTTGGAATTATATATGATGAAATTTATTAGGAGGGGTAACACTAAGTGCACATGTATTGAATTAAACCATTTAACACATTTTTCTATTGTGGAAATTTAGCGGCAAAGAGAAGTGAGAAAGTCAAATATTCCGTGACAAGCTGTGTGGAGGAAAAGGGCATAAATTAACCAAAAATAGAGTCACTTCGAACACGGATAAATCGGGAAAAGTCAATGCGTCAAACTTCTATCCCCTTGCTAACTAAATTAATAATTAAAACTAAATTAATTATTATAATTTTTTTAGAAAAAAAGTCCATAATCCCTGTTGCGGCTCCTTCACATTTCACCTTTTTCCACCATTTTCAAACCTCTCTCTCTCTCTCTTTCTATATAAAGCCACCTCCCCTTTCTATCCTTGAGCATAAATCTCTTTCTGTACAAAGTTATCTCTCTGAAAATCTTTCCAATTCTTCGATAACTTTTTGTTTGAACCAATCGGTTTCTCTATTAAGAAAGAGTAACCAATAAAGATGGATATTTATCATGATGAATTGGATGGTGCAAATAATTACGACAACCAAATTATTGAAGAAGAAATGGAGCTTAGAAGAGGTCCATGGACTCTTGAAGAAGACCTCGCTCTCATGAATTACATCACCCAACACGGGGAAGGTCGATGGAATTCCCTTTCTCGATCCGCAGGTAATTTAATTCATCTAAAAAAGCGATTTTTAAGCACGGCTAAAACATTTGGGCTGGTTTTGATCAGGAATAATTATACCAAGATTTATGTTGGCTAATGAAAATTCAATGACACAGGTCTAAATAGAACTGGAAAGAGCTGTAGATTGAGATGGTTGAACTATTTACGCCCAGATGTACGACGTGGAAATATCACTCTTGAAGAACAGCTTTTGATTCTTGAACTCCATTCTCGATGGGGAAATCGGTAAGTTATTCGATAAATTGTGTTAAAGACGAGATTTAGAAACATGTGGTTTAACTGTTTTCGAATCAACGTGATAGGTGGTCGAAAATTGCTCAACATTTGCCTGGTAGAACTGATAACGAGATCAAGAACTACTGGAGAACACGAGTGCAGAAACACGCTAAACAGCTCAAATGCGACGTGGACAGCAAGAGATTCAAGGACACCATGCGTTATATTTGGATGCCAAGATTAGTTGAGAGAATTCAGGCAGCCGCTGCAGCCGATGGTGCTTCCGCCACCACCACCCAATACCAACTCAACAGCCATAACAATTCTAGTATGGACAACATGGCCTCAAGCCAAAAGATTCTGCCAGTGCCACAGGCTGACAATAGTAACATGTTAGGCAACTACGGTGGCGACATCCTGGTTAACGCAAACACCACCAGCTACACGGTGGAGAATTCTAGCACAGCCGGCTCATCGGACTCATTTGGCACCCCAGTTTCAGACCTCACAGATTGTTACAATTATCCAGTTAATCAGAGCACGAATCAAGATTACTATCCTGGTAATCAGCTAGCCTATGGAGAAACCTTAACCGGCCCTGCTGGTTACTTTAACCAAGGGTCAGATTTCACAGTTATGGAGCCAAACAATCAATGGATGGACGATGGTAACATATATGACAATTCGTGGAATGTTGATGACATGTTCTTACAACAGCAATTCAACAACCATTTTTATGGAATAAATTGAAGTGGATATTCTAAGTTGTAGAAATACGAGAAGTCGTCAAGAAGGTTTTAGGGTCACGTATAGGATCAATTAGTACTGGAGAATGACGTATTTTACTGTGGAATTGATATTTGTATTAATTCCTACTTGGTTTTTTAAGTTTCTCATTTTTATTTCATAATTTGTGGGGATAAAAATAAGTTGTAGTTGGAGGGTTTTTTATATAATTCTTTGAATCCTTGTATTTTATTGGATGTATAGTGCTTAATTATATTCTCTCGATTGTGAATCAACCTTTATTTAGTCGTCGTACTTCTAAGTAATCATCTTATATTTTGTTATAATTGAACCATACATGGTAAATAAATATAACATGATTCAGAATGAACTACTTTAACTCGTGTCTTCTTATTTTACTTGCTTTTGATCTTTTCGATATTGTCATGAGCTTAGAGTTTTCACAAAGAACTACTAGCATCGTGAGGCCTTAACGATTCAAGATTCTCGCCCTTGACAAAAATTATGTTAAGTCAGAATTTCACCGTGGAGCTCAAACGAGGCTCTGATACCAAGCCACAATTTGGGCCCCTGAGGTTCTGCGCCTCGAGGCACGCTCATGGATAGGATGTTAGACAATTCCTGCATATGAAGACATCATTAGTGCATTATTCAGTAATATATAGCCAATAGTCTAATTGTTGACGGGTGTTCTCATGATGTCTAAAAAGATGAGTACTCCCTTTGTGTGAAACTTTAGAAATATGAGTTTTATGCACTATAAAGGCTTGTTTTTAGTGGATATTATAATGTTGAAGATGTTCATAATTGGTTCCACTATGTATGTCTTTGTTGCTTGTAATTTTAATATGTGGAATTTTTGAAAACATAGTCTATGGGGCCTGAACCAGATTAATAAAATACCACCTTTATTGTAGTTCTAGATTAAGGAGGAATAAAGATTAATGTAGTAATGATTTAGGGGCATGCTATATTTTTGAATATTATAATATTAAAATCATTTTGAAGTCTTCCATTAGTGTGATCTTTCATCTTATCATGTTATACAAATGCCACGTGAGTGGCTAGCAATGTCACACTTGAATGAAAAATGAATAATAATCCCATTAATTATTTTTTAATCTCCCAATTACAATCTTCAATTTGGTTTTGATTTGTTTGTTTTGCACGGACAAAAGTGGTTTGTCCAAGTTTGAGCCCCATAACTAGACAATATTCTTATCCAAGCATTACCTCATTTGTTTCACTTGAATGATAATACTAATAAATTGCTTAACTAATTAAGACACAATTAGAAATTTAATTTTATACGAATTGACGGTACCCCAAAATCAATACGAGTGAACGAGTAGACCATACTAGGGCGCTTAAGGAAACTATGTCGAATGAACTCGCTAAAATGATCCTGTAACTTCCGAGAGAAGGGGTGCTCTCCTATGTACATGAGTTGTGCGTGTAACATGTCAAGTATTAGAATTCCATGCTAAAATGTTAATTTTGTTAAGGGAAGTAGTTGAGACCCTATATGCTAATTATTCTATTTATTTTTATACGGTGTGAAATTTTGGCCCTTTCAAGAATATCAATCTTGAAATTTTGTAACTCATATGATCTTTTGACGGATCAAATTGTTCATTTATGTTTTCGTATTTAAACGTTGTGCAATTTCTATCAAAATCTTACTATCCATACTTGTATATTGATCATATAAATCGTCTATGTATCAAGACTTGTTTTGTATCTTTTAAATGAGTATGACTTCCATATATTTCGGTAGGTGACCGAATTTCAACTTTTGTTCACTCCGTAGAAAATTTAATGTGAAAAGAGAAAAAATGTTTCATTTCTTGGGACCATTAGGATTAAACAACTTTCCACGTTAAGTCCGTGTTTCTTGTGATTAAATTCAGATTTTCAGTAGACTTTAATAAAAGTTGATAAAAATATGTGATAAAAAAGTTATAAGTCCTATAAAATATATGATTAAAATTAATTATTAACTTAATTTAAATTTTAATTAAACAGTGGCTTTATAACGAAAACAAAATCCCTTTCGAAGAAGTTGGAAAATAAATCTTCTTGTGGAAATGGAATTCAAGAACGTGATGAAATAGACAGACACAAGTACAAATAGAAAACTACGTACAAGATACGTATAAATAATTATAAATAGAAAAAAGAGGTGGGTGTGGCGGCTGGAATCTTTATAGGCCACGTGCCTCCTGAAGAAGCCAACAAAAGTGGTCTCTCAAACGTAAGAGGTCCCACGTGTACAGTTTTCACCAAATATTATAATAAAATAATAATTTTTATTAGGCTTCCTTCTCGCTGTCGCCTGTCGGTAAGGAAAAGGTGCTTATGAGCTCCAATTATTCACTCGTTTAGGGCGCTTTGATTATTACAGCTCGTGGCCTTCACTTAGACGGAAGCACTTAGAGCCGCAAAACTTGAAGCAAATCCTTCCTATAAAATTCTGTGACAGCCACGTAACTATATCCACTGTGGTTTTGTTTAATTACGCGGGGATTAGATTAAGGGACACAATTAGGATAGAATTAGGCTAAATGTACACGATGAGTTACACAATGGATTACACCCCCTTCACATGGAGGGGGCCCATACACAATAAAATATTCGTGTATCCCCCTCCATGTGAGGGGGTGTAATCCATTATGTAAATCACAGGTTGTACATCTAGCATAATTCATTAGGATATGTCTTGCATGTTCAATAAGTTCATATTTGTCTAATGTTTATACACTATTTATAGTCGATCGAATCACCTTTTTGTTCTCAAATTGTGTAGAATTCATAAGTACTAATTTTTTCATCCTTCACTTTTTTTTTTATATTTTTATAATTTAAATCGTTTATAAACACTTCTCAGACATGTATATTTTAAGAAAAATAGATCATTGCATATATAATACTAATTCTTTTTATTTTTAAGTAGTATAAAATATTACCTAAACATTATCTTGCAATATGGTAGCTCATTTGAACGTCAAATCTTCTCGAAACCTTACTACAACGTTAAAAAGATCAAATTATTCATTTAAAATCTTTTGAGCCTTGGTATGATAGTAAGGGCCAGTTTGGTGAGAATTTTGAGTCAAAACTGCTTCTGAGACTAATAACCTACTTTTGAACTTGTTTATATAATTTTTTGAAAGTATGTTGCTAGACTAAAAAAATTTTAGGGTCCGTTTGATTGTAAGAGTGGAATTTGGATGGAAAGAAAATGAATTTTAGGGAATTGAATTGTCTAAAATTGTTTTCTTGCGAATTGTCGATAAATTGTTTTTTATTAGTATAATTTTTCACGTGAAAAATATTGAAATTTTGGATATTTTAGTGTTCATTTGACTTTATTTTACAAAAAAATTGTCCATAAATGGATATAATTTATTACAATTAGAGATATAATTTGTTTCGATTGCCAAAAAAAGTAGCATGGAAAACCAAATCCTACCAAATTGGTGGGAATTGATTTTCCTCAAAAACCAAGAAAAATGGTCAAAATGGGGTTGGGTGGAAAACTATTTGCCAAGAAAATTTTGCCTATTAATAAGCAAAAGTGTCGAAAATGAAAAATCAATTCCTAATTCCATGGAATTTGAGTACTATCAAACATGGTCTTAGAGGAAGTTAAAGTGAGATAACTTCCTTATAAAGTTCATCTACGAGCAGTAAAAACAAAAATAGAAGTCATGTCACATGTTCTTTTATAAAAATAATTTTACACATAGAATTATAATTTTGTCTCACTTTTTAAATACACATTATAAAAAAAAAAAATCACTTCAAAAAAATCAACATCAAATCAGTTTTAAGTTTGAAAATACTATATAAAAGGTAAATTGTTTTAAGTTAAATAATTGAAGACCTTCTAAATATTATTTTCATAATAATGAATTCCTATAACATTTATTAAACAGAGTGATATCTATTTTGTAGGTCATCTGATAACTGGATAAATTTCAAACATTAAACAAATGTTTATGAAAAATAATCTTTGACCCTCTTGTGGGAATTTATAAAGAAAAACGAACCTAAGTTTGATCCACAATTTTAGATTGCATTATTATTGTCAATTTACTTTTTTCAGTTGGACCAAATATGATGGCTCTCATTGATGAAACATCCTAGTATTATCAAAATTAATTCGATCGGTCAATTTAAATAAAAAAAAATTAAAAATAGTCGAGAAATCAATTCGTTAAAAGTCCAAAATCGGTTGGTTCGCAACTACTAAAACCATTGTGTTCAATCAATTTTATTTTTATTGCTAATTTCCATCTTTTAACTTTAGATATTTAACTTTATTGGTTGACTGAGTAATGCTATTTATCATCATGTTAATAAAATATCGACGATGTGACAATCTAATATTTTTCACATTTCTCTCTCTTTCTTCATCTTCTCTTTCATAAAAATTGAACTGTATAATCGTATTATTTCATATAAACTGTCACATCATCGATATTATATCATCATAATGAAAATAATACTATTCTTCTTGGTTAATATATTAGGCCGTGTTGGATTGCAATGAATTCCATGAAAAATGTCACATCTGAAGAAAACAAATTTCACTTTAACCGTTTGATTGCAACGTGTAAATGGAAATCGAATTTCAAGGTACGACAACTTTAAACTGCATTTTCTTTGTTTTCATGGAAAACGAATTCCCATGGATTTGATTGATTTTTATTTTCCAATAAATACAGAATTGAAATTTCTTTTTACATTTGTCTATCAAACGGACCTTAGAAGAAACAAATAGTAATGAGGCAAGTAGAGTTCCACTTAAGCCAAATGCTGACCCATACACGCCACCGTCAACACGTGTGATAATTAGAAACTAATGAAATAGTGGAAACAGTTGAATTATACACGGAAAGAATGTATATATCTACAATGTACCTACCAGTGAACGTAGAGTACAACTGTATTCCACCAAAATTTCAATTTTCTTTCAGCCACGTTGAAATTTTACTTAT